TTTGGATTGTGATAAAATATTTGACACAGTATAGGTTTCGGACTCCAACTGAATGTGGTCTAAGAATTCAAAAATACATTTACCTATACCCTAATATCCAAAATCTAAAATAAGTTAGAATCAGCATTTCAAATAACTCAAAAAATTCAATTTTTAATTTTTTGATTTTGGACCTCAATTTTAACTAGTTTGTTAACAGTGCTAAAAATCAAAAATCTAAATACAGATCACAGTTACCAGTAGACTCAGCATATCAAAGAACCACAAGAATTAAAATTTTGGTTTAAATCAAACAAAGTTTAAGTTTGGACCATTTGGATCTCAATGTGAACCAATTTGATAATGGGCCCAATATCTAAATACACAGTTTGATTATATAAAAAAAAAAACAAAGAATTCAATTTTGGGTTTAAATCAAACAAATTTTGGACCCTTTGGACCTGAATGTGAACCAATTCGAAAACAGAAATACACAAACATGGTAACAGATTTAGTATATTAAAGAACCCAAAGAATACATGATTCTCATCGAAATTGAAATTGGTCAAGAAACAAATAATGTATACAAAGTATTGGTGTTTGTTTGGTTCCTAATTCATAAACAGTTTGGGCCATAATCACCAAAATCAATTCCAACTTTCCCTTTTTGGTTTGAAATCTTGTATAATAATTTCATAGAAATCCATTGATTTATTCTCAAGTTATGGTCTGGAAACCCCAGAAAATCTTTTTTTTAACCTTTATTCCTAAACTGTTAGGGCAATAACCCCAAATTCAATTCATACCTTCCTTTTGTGGTATGGGACCTTGTGGTTTTATTTCTTTGAGATCTATACACTTATACTCAAGTTATTGTCTGGAAAACATATGTCTACAGACCACAATGACGACATATCCACACCATTATAAAATGGCAAAAGTTTTGCAGTCTATTAAAACTTAATGTTGACTACACTTCAAAAAAAGGCCAAGACAATCATATTCACATTACAATCATTCTGTACACCATACATTGTTGACCTAGAGAATCTGACAGAGAACAGACCAAATCATGGAACCTAAATGATGACCAAATGGTGCAGGATAAGCCACTCAAATGAACAAATTTTTCATAAACCTTTTTCTTATCCCAATCCATGCAATGTGATACAAAATATATCTCTTCATGTGAGAAATAGATCACAGGCAATAACCATAACAGAATTAATTGTCCTTATTACACATAAAACTGTCAAATTAATTTGAAAACAAATAATGTACACATACCCTTAAAAATGGAATCAAGATAATGTTCATATGCCAGATTAAACCAGACCATAAGGCAACTGCATACAAGATATGGATTAACTCATTCTTCTTCAGTCTTGATTATGAAGTTTTATATCAGGAGCATCCACTGCTAGATCTGTATCCCTGTGTTTTGTATCTGATGAGCCTTTATATAAACTAGATCATTTTAGAATTCTAGATCTATTTAAAGACTTGGCAGCCAATCAGGTAATCAGCAAGTCCAATGAACATTTTTGTCATGTAGTTCCTAAGTATCATTTGTGTCAAGTCTTGTTTAAACTAGCAAAGAAGTTTCTGTGACATTTAAAACTCAAAACATGATGTTGAAAGATACCAAGAGATGGAAATATAAACTGTTGACACAGAGATATGTCTTGCATTTTTTGGTGGTATAATGCAAATGTTGAAATTAAATTTCATTATTTAAACTTATCTATGCAATGAATCATGACTGACGGTTTAGGGCAAAATAAAAACACCATGGAAATGCTATGCTTATAAAACTGCATACCCAACACCATTGACTTACCAATTGGTTCCTTATTAAACTGTGAAAGTTTCAAAGTTCATGAACCATGATAAGGAAGTAGGACCAAATAATCTCTATGAAAATGAGACTTGCAAATGCCAATACAACTGCATACCAAATATCAGATATTAGTCACTCATCTTAAACTGATCTAATCACAAATCACATGTAAATAATGCAAAACATTCAGTCAATAAACCATGACTGAGGCTGGAGCTGAACAATCTCTATGGAACTGAGATTTGTCAATGCTTATACATCTGTATACCAAATATCATTGACATACCACTTATAGTTCCCTTTCAATTGACCTAATCACAAACATACATGTAAACTAATTAAAAGTTTTAAGTCGACTATGACTGAGGGAGAGAAGCAAAATAATCTCCTTAGAAATAAGATGTTTCAATGCTTATATAACTGCATACCAAATATCATTGACCTACCACTAGTTGTTTTCTTTAACTTGAACTTATCACAATCAAATACATTGTTGAAGCTGCTGCTTATGGAAAAAGCATGCCCAAGTCTCGCTTTTTCAACTTCGTTCATACCATACAATAAATCAGCTGTGTTTTACCCTTGACCACAGAAACCTCTTCCCCCTTTATTTGTCATTCAGACTCAAATAAAAAATAAGATAGGTTTTCTCAATTAAATTTTTATTTACCTATTTATTTATATCATTATCATGCATCATAATATAAAATACCCAAATGAAACCAGACCCATTCTGCTCCATCAAGTGTGTACAAATACCAAAGAAATTGTAATAATAATAAGTTTTTAGTCCCTTTATAAGTAAAAGGAGGAAAAGGATCTGCATCATGGGTAAGGTATCATTGGTTAAATATTACAATTATACAAAATAACTGACAGCGCTGAGGATTCTTTTTAGTTTCTTGATACCAGTTCCCAGACTAGCTCTTTAAATAGAATTTAGAAAATCAATTCTGTTCTGAGATACATGTCTTAAATTTTAATATCTTTAGGTCTTAAAGGAATATTTTTTTTGCTCAATATTAAACTTGGTGCTTTCCAATACTTTTAAATACCAAACTTAAAATAAATTTATATAATTCCATAAAATATATGAATCTTCAGTTTGTCACATATGAAGAGGCATTTACAAATATAACAAGGAATACAATGGTAAATACTAAGATAAAAAATGCATAAAAATACATGAATCAAATTCATTTATGAGGTGTACTCAATTTATTTACTGGGTTATTTAGATAAACTAATATCCGGATCTGTGCAAAAATTATTAGATCACCAAGGAAACAGTTAACTGCATTTCATTAAACATTTATAACCCAAGCTCTTATATTGTATATAAAGTTTCTTTATAATTCCTCCCAATTTCTAACCAAAGTCAATTCTTTATATCAAAATAGAATAGTTATTTAACAATACATGTATGATATAAATATTTTTTTTTATTATTTTCTTGGAACCAGAACTTTTTGCCCAGGAAGTAATAAGTAATTATTTCATATAAAATAAAAAGAGGAGATATGATTGCCAACGAGACAAACTCTCTACCAGAGACCAAATGACATAGAATTTAACAACTATCAGTCACCTACAGCCTTCAGCCATGAGCAAAACCCATACCCATAGTCCATATCCTTTAGGAAATGTGCCATAGTCAGCAAGTATATCATCTGTTTGCTCATCTGTCTACAACTTCCAATCAAATTAAAAGGATTGAATTGTTTTTGCCTAAACTTTCAAATAATCTTCAGTATCTGTTGGCATTGTGTATATTTTTTTCACATCCAAAGGTTCCCCAATCGAAGAATGGACTTTTCCATTTATAAAATTTTATTACTCATATTGAAGGATAGGTTGGTTCAGCTGATAAGAACATAGATTTAGTTAGAGCAAGATTCTGCATTTATAAGTCTTGTAATTTGGTCAATCTTCAACGACCACTTCAATATTTATGTTCATTCATTTTTCTATTTTATCCACTAAGAAGAGTTAAAAGCATAATAAATGTCTGATCTCATTATGTAAATTTATATTTTGAATTGCATGTATAATCAAAATATATAAACTCAATCATAATAAGGCTTGGTATGACAAGATTTGATAGTAAAAACAAATAAAATCAAATAAAAACCACTAAAATCAGATAAAACCAGATAAAACACAAATCTTGTTATAGCAAAGCCTTATAAAATTTACATTAAAGCTACAGTGGTAATATATATCAGTGTGAACCCCAAATTTATCTTGAATTTAAGTCATTAAACTTTGTCATAATGAGATCCAACTACTAAAAACATGATTAAAAACAAATATATTTGAACCAACCTATCCTTCACATGATAAAATGGTGGTATGAGAAGCTTCTTTCCCTTTTTTTTCAAATACTTAGGTCCATTCATTACAATTGAGAACCCCAAAATTTCATTATAATAAAATAAAATACACACAGCCATTAGCTATAGATACAGAAGATAATCTGAAAGTTTAAATGAAAACCTTACAATAGTTTATAAGCTGTGGATGAGACATGATGATGGACAAACAGACAGACAAATCTTCTTTAATAACCTTTTTATGCTCAACATGAGTGCAGATGGGCATGGGATTTGGTCCTGCCCTGGGTCATATAAAAGAATTGAAAATTTGGTATTTGATGCTCCCCTGCTAAGCATTCAGCAATTAGGAGTAGGAGCAAAGACTGGTCTGCTGGAAGTCAGAATAATGTGTTCAGGTAGGGTTAGATGTCTTGTGCAGACTTTTACATTATGAACTAGCACATTATAAAAATCTTGCATTTTTAATTATCCATCCATCCTTCAAAATCAAAACTTCTTTTACAAAATCCTGGTTATACATGTGGAGGGGGAGGTAATTGTTTGGAAGCTGAGTACAAGCCTCAAAAATCAAACATTAAAATATAAATAATCATAAATGAGAAAAAATATAGAAATCAATCACACAAAATGAGAAAATATGACAAACTGCAAAAAATATGTAATTATTTTCACTTGAGGGGCCTCAGATGCTGAATAATGCATTTATAATATATAAACAAAACCAATAAATAAAACTGACAGCCATCAATTTGTATGAATGTACAGAATGCAGAGTCAAAACAAACCATCTAACTAAACATTTTTATTTCTAGTTCATATTGCACCAAAAACTCAGTACTTTGTTTAATAGGGGATTTGTTTTATTCCCTTTTAGTGTTTGGCCATCAAAGTCCTACTTAATAGGTTTCTAACCAGAAAAAATCATTTCACAGAGGACTTATAATTCTTAACCAGTGTACATAACTTAAAAAAATATATTTAAACTGAAGCAAGTCTTATGGGTATCTTGTGAAACCATACATCATACCTTTGGGACCTCTCAAATAACAATAATTTCACAGTTTTTTTTTTATATTTCTTCAATCACAAAACAATAATTGAATGCAAGAAAAAATTATGAAATAAATATTTATAATTTGAATAATAAAGCATTAAAAATTAATTGCATTTATAATTCATTCTGCTTATAAGACAAATATCTGCTGATTTTTTTTACAAAAGATAGCAACAGTTCATCCAATGGTTTGCAGGATTGTAGTCTGAGGATTTTACCATACAAGGAAGGCAGCAACAGCAACTCTTTCGACTGAAAAAGAAACAAAGTTAAATTTCAATCGTTGATTCTTAATTTTAAAATAATCTAACTGGAATGAAGAAACAGACATCAGTGTATGTTAAACAATTTGTTCATTACTTATATTGATTACTCAAAAATATATAGTATAAAAAAATATCCGATTTTTTTGTTATCTCCCTTTCATATATCTTCTTCAGATCTAGTATCTGCTGTAAAGGGTACATTATTTTAAAATGAAAAGATTGAATAGATTGTAAATTAAAAAAAAAATATATATATTGAAATCTATTTAGTGACATTCATCACACTATAACATAAACACATTAAAGTTGTATGTTGATGAATAAGTTCTCACCTTATAACAGCTTTATCCCAGCAAGTAACCCAATGGAAACCTGATGCTAACCTGGAATATAAAAGTATTGAGTTATACTAAACTTTCCTAAAAAAAATTATTACACGTACTAAATTCAAAATTGCACTAGGATAACAAAAAAAATCATGGAAAAAATATTTGGTATTCTGAATTATAAACTCAGTTTTATATTTACCAAAAAAACCGGTATCTCACAAGTGTAAAATTATTTTTTTGGTACTAAAGAACCTTATGAAATTGATTTCAAATATTATATTACTAAAAAGATGCTTGATTACCTACCAACATGTTAACAATATTAGACATCCAAGTCTTACTCCCAACACCATGAAAACATCATCATTATAACAACCAAAATATAAAAAAAATAAAAAAATAATTACTTGTTTTACAGATCAAAAGACTAACAAAATAATGCTGTGTTTCATTTATTAAAACCTGTTATACATTATCATCTTCACTATATAAACTTCAAACTGCTAGAGATAGAAATTGACCTTGTGCAAGTGCACGTATATGTATAAGCAGAAGTCCATTACTAGATGAAGTGTGCAACCTGTGCTATATAGTAAGGCGATCACGATGTCCCCTTTATCAGTGGAAAGCACCATTGGTGGTCCCCTCAAATCTCGTTTTATAACTATGGAATCACGGGTAAAAATATTATCATCCAACACCAACAGATAGCTGTTAATTAGTCTCCATGAGCGTTTGATTAATTATCAGTATGTTGTAAATAAAGTGAGCCGACTTAGTGCGCGGTTGTTTCATATTGCCAGTTATTAAACTTCTTCATTTTAATTCAACATTTATAAAATTATATAAAATTTTATACACGAATTCATTGGTACCATTATTCATCGCGCAAAGCAAAATGAAAATTTTAAAATCTACCGTGTTGGATTAAAAATGTATCGTTTATTTAAAAGATATATAGTTGTTTTTGCCAAAATATAGTCACAATTGACTCTTTTTTTTAAATGGAACGTTGTGTTAACGAATTACGTCTCGGTTATTTTCGGCTTCAAGGAAGCTATATGCGGTGATGTATAAGCTTCTACCGAAATACAATAATATCCGACCATTAATTGTAAATAGCAAAATCAATAAAAAGCAAATGGAAATTAAGAAATATATGCATTATAGGGACAGAAGAATTCGGTCTACTAATACTCCAGTGTTACTTGTACTGAATATGGATACACAATTTGCCGACCTAATTTTTCCTTGCCAACTTTTTAATGACAATTTTTTAACTATAAAACTAAACGTTTATTGTACTAAGATTAGTGAGCTTTTTTTCGTTTGACAATTTTTCTACGGTTATAGTCCCAGGGTTATAATTGTAGTTTTTAAATTGATAAATTATACAAACATTTTTATCGTTTAATATTGAAACCATCATAATGACTCATGACACTGATATATTATGGTATCTATAGGATCTGTTATTCATTACACGTCGATGGTCAAACATTATTTTCAACTGTGTGCTAATTAAGTTATAGGGTGTTTTGCATAAATTATCTCTACCCAGAATGCATCATTAAAAATTTGGCCATTGAATTTTGTTACTATTAATAGCAATCTCGCTCAAATCCAGTTTCAATCACAGTTGGAAGAACGGGGACAACTTGATCGCCATACTATATAGCGGGTTGCACACTTCGTCTAGTAATGGACTTCTGGTATAAGACAATGATTTTGGAATATTCAATTACAAAATCCGATGGTTTTAGTCTCTTTTGATGGTTCTTAAAATCATTTTCATAACAGCGTAGACAACCCCAATACTTATGTTGGTAATAATACTAACTCAATTACTGTAAATTCAGAAACTATTGCAATGTTTTTATTATTGTGAAAAATGCAACATGGTTGTATTGGCAATAATTTAAACTAGCATTTTGAAATTTTTTATATGAATTAAACAGGATTTTTCTCAATATCGCAAAAATTAAAATCGCATTCTAGTGTAAAATTACAAAATCGCAATTAATGAATGGTTATTAATTATTTTGAATTTATTGAACCATAAAATTAATTTTTGACTCTTCACATTGAATAATTCGCAAAGCGGATAATGTAAAAGATTCAATAAATTCAAAATAAATTATAGCCATTCATTAAAAATTTTTATCAAAAATAAGGCTCAAAGAACTTTTTATATTATTTATATTAACCATAACGTACACGGATGTTGGCATATGAATCTACAATGTCAGAGTGGGTGTGTCGCCATAAAAATTGACAACATTGAAAATAAAAGTAATACTTTTAACCAATCAGAAGACAGTAAATACACCAAATTTATTTATTAATAATTGCACGCAATAATTTCTGAATTTACAGTACCTTTAACTTGTTTGCCATTGGCTATCGATAACAGTGATTTTACGCTCACTCAGTCTGTCAGAGACCTTCCAATAGGGATTTAAATAGAATAAAAGAGCAAAGTACATGTAGGCACAAGAGAAGAAAAAAAGAAAATAATTATTCAACATTTAAATCAACACACAAGGTTTAGTCCTCTGCTAGTAATTCATACTATTTGAAGTAGGCATTTAGAACCTTTGGCAACCCCAGTTTAAATGTCTATAACACATTCAATGTGACAAGTCGGCGTTACAAACTTTCACCTTATCTGACCCAGTCAATAGATAACATAAGAGCGCCAAGAAATCGTCTTGTCCACGCTTTTATGAAAATGATTCTATATCAATTGAATATTCAAACAATTACAGACTTTGCATAAAAATTTGTTCGACCCAAATAAGTTTACAAATTCATTGATAACAACTTGCATACAGTTGGTTTCTATCCAACACAGCTCACTCAATACCAGACAGAAAACAAATGTAAGACTAGATACTCTAAAAATCAATCCTGATAGAAAAGAACACTTCAAAAATAATGTTAAATGCCTATATATATATTATTACCATAAAATTTGTGGAATATATAAACTTACCACATATTTTTCATGGTAAAGCCTCAGACTTGGTAAAGATTAAATTGACCATCTCCCTTAGAGCTGCTCTCCCGGCTGACAAGGTGGCTCTCCTCATCATCTTAACATCTTTTTTTTTTAAATATAGTTATATACATTAAATATATCAGATGCATTTCCAATAAATCCTCTTTCTTGAAAATTTCAGCAAATCAATTGTTAATAACCCAAGATTTCTCCCACCCTGCATACTTATTATCTAGAGCTCTGCTTACATTTATTTTTTTTCATTACAGAGCTCTAAATAATAGTCAATATTAGCTAGTATACATCTGATATTAAAAAAAAATGTACAAACATGAATATCCAAGTAGATGAAAATCCTAACATTGAGGGAATTTTCAAGTATGTGGAGTTAAACAGGGGTATAATAAATTGCCTCCCTTTTACTCAAATTTTACCCTGTTCGGACTCCACATCCTTGTTATATTAAACAAAATAAATAAAATAGTACAATTAAAATTAAAAAATAGATTGATAACAAAAATCTAACACATTTCAATAAAATATTTCGTACTGATCGACTTATGGTGGCAGAGTGGGCCTATAAGTAGTTCAACTACTGTATCACTAGCCTGTCAAAACCGAGAACCCTCACATGAAATGTGTAACTTCATTCTTAATTTGACTAGGGTTTGCCCTTTTCCCTGATGAAGGTGATGTTTTCACAAGGCACTCTGGCTGTCTCCACAAATAAAAATTTACAGCCAAAAGTATAGTAAATCATGTTAAAGTGGTGTTTAACACCAAAAATCAACCAATCCAATTTCAAGAAGATGTTCTTCAACTATGCCTTTTGTAAAATTATTCTTTAAATAGTATCACCTTGGTTACAAACCAAAATCAGCTAAAAATGACAAAAAAAGTGCAAAAAATATATTTCTAACTTCTTAACTTCGTAAATTCCTCTGCATTAGAGCACCCTTGTCACATATCTTAAAGATATTAAAATTAACATGAAAGAAAAGGTTGTAAGGGGATATATTTACTGCAGACCATTATTCATCTTTTTAGTTTATACTAGAGAGGCATTTGTTATGGTAAGGTATTTTGAAATGTTGCTAAAAAAAACAAAAATAATTAAAATTTTTGCTAAGAAATTCGGTGGGAATATTCACATCGGCAGATTTAATTGCATTAACTACATGTATAAAGTAACTTGTAAAATTTGAAAGTATCTCAAATCCTAAAATAACAAAAAGATTGCAAAAATATATACATTACAATTTGCAAAAAAAAAATACATTTCAATAATTGAACATTTTTTTTTCTTTATTCTTTCTTTTTCTTTTATATTATCCATTCTTAAACTGCTGGAAGTGTTTTGAATAGACATGAGTATAAACGGAAAATAGAAAGAATTTTTGTAATGTCAAATACAAGTTAACCTACAACTTCCAATCTTGTTGAAAATGGAGAATCTTTACATTTTTTTTTTTTTTTTTTGTAAAAAAATTATAAACATTTTCTCAAGCATACACAAAAATAGTCTGAATTACATTCTTTACTGTTGCAGATATATCACACAACCATTTTATGCAGCCACAGTTATCTGAAAAAGAAATATACATTACTCATGAACATTGAAATAATATTTAATGCAAAAAAAATTATAATTAACTGACCATTACAATTATAATGTATAGAACATTTCTTTTTCTTTGTTATAAAGTGATTTGTTGACATAAATTTTAAAGTACCAGTATTTCTTAGCAATAAAAGGATGAAAAACAAGTCTTGACAAATATCTTTATAGCTATATATAGTATATCAGGCTATTAACATACTTGATTGAATTTTTTAACATTTAGTCATGTTGAACCTTTATAGCTAACTATACAATATAGGTTTTGCTCATTGTTGAACGCATAGGGCGACATTTAGTTGCATCCACATCATTTGGTCTCTGGTTGATAGATGTCTCATTGGCGTACATACCACACTTACATATTTTCATATATGGGGACAACTATAGATAACAAAAAAACTGAAATCCCAAGATTTCGCATTATACATTATACTTTTTGACTTCCCTTATATATCTTTATATCTCCTTCTAAATTGTTTATTCAACTATAAGTAAAGAAGACATTAATATGTAAGATTTACATCTGTGCCTAACAAAAATCTTGGGCTTTAAAATGCTCTTGGATGAAAAGTTAATAAATCTATGTATTGATTCTTACCCTAAAAGTCAGCTCCAATGCCCACTCCCAGCTTCAATCCTTACAGACAAGCTGTGATGCTAACCTGAAATATAAAATGATAGTTCATTAATAAAACCCTGTAACTTGGAAACTAAAATCTAAAATTTATAAAAATCGAAAGGGAGCTCATGTCAATAGATATAAACAATTCACCACAATTTCTTGCAAGTTGGTGAAAGCATTCTTGATTTTTGTCCGAAAACTGGAAAACGTCCTTTTTATGAATAAAACCCCATAACTTGGAAACGTAAAATCTAAAATTTATAAAAAACAAAAGGGAGCTCACATCAATAGATATAAACAATTCACCAAAGTTTTATGCAAATTGGTTAAAGCGTTTTTGAGTTAATGTCCGACATGTTGACGACGGACGGATGGACAACGGTATACCATAATACGTCCCGTAAACGGGCGTATAAAAACTGTTTAAAAGGTTCTTTGTTGGTATTATGTATGTATATTGAATAGATTGAATGATTGGTTGTTGGTTGCTTAAGGTCCAGTGGCAAATCATTAAATAGAAATAGTCTTAAAATGTGTTATATATGTCAAGAACATATGGATGAGACAGCAATCCAACAAGCCAACACATTTTTATGTAACCAATTCAGATCCTAAACTTTACTCTTATTTGGTTACTGATATAATAAGAGTAGATTCCTGTAAAAAATCTTTTAAGCGTTCCAATCTTGTTTTTCCATAAAATATTTATAATACATTTGAGTTTTCCAAAACAGGACTAACATACTGGTACATACCTTTGTATTAGCTGTATAAGACCACCAAGTCTTATTCCCAAACCATGAAAACATGTCTCAGAAAGAACCTGAAATGAAATTATAATCAACACATTATACATTTTGTAAATCAATTCATGTGTTACAGATAACCTAAAATTTACTAAATATTGTTCTGATTTCTTATTGCAGGTAGACAATTGTATAAAATAATTTTTTTTTAAAATCAATATAAAAGATAGAAAAGTAAAAAAACATCAGATTTAAATTTAACTGCACAAAAAATATCTGAATATTTTACAAAGTTATCTCCCATTGAATGCAAAATCGTGTTTTAAATTGTACTGGTCTTTTCTTGAAGTTTAATGACTATTTTTAGGATTTACTATTGATATTTTAATAGAAAATCTTGTTCAAGTATCTTGTATCTTTAAATACTAAACTGGTAAATTAATTCATCAATGGTGTTTTAAATGAGATATTTCAGAAGGGTCTGTTATCTTAAAAGATCTGGCTAAAATAAACTTGCCTTTTCTATTTTCATGGTAAAGAGTCGGACTTGGTGGAAGATTTAATTGACCATCTTCCTAAGAGCTGCTATCCTGGCTGACAAGGTGGTTCTTCTCAATATCTTATTGTCAATCTATGTTGTGTCCATTTGTTTTTAGAAAATAAAGTAACATACATAAAAAATATCAGATGCACTTTCAATTAATAAACTTTTTGAAAAATTTCACGTAATTATTTTAAGTGACACATAATTTTTCCCACCCTAAATTTCTATTATCTAGAAAACATCTGATATGTAAAAAAAAGTGCATAAATGTGAGTATCCAAGTAAATAAAAATCTAACATTGAGGGAATTTCAAGTATTTGAAGTTAAACACAGTATAATAAATTACCTCCCTTTGACCTTAATTTCACCCTGTTAGAACTCCACATCTTTGTTATATATATAACAAAAAAACATAAATAGTATACCGGTAATCAAAATAAAAAAATAAATTACAAAAATTCAACACATTTCAATAACATATTTAGTGCGGATGGATTAATGGTGGCTGAATGGTCAAAGTAGTTCAACTACTGTATCACTAGCCTGTCAACACTATGAACCCTCACATTGTAGGTGTGTTTAACATCAATCTTAATTGACTAGAGTTGCCAGTTTCTCTGTTGAAGGGGATGTTTTCACCAGGCTGTCTCACAAATAAAAACTGGCAGCCAAGATATAGCAAATCATGCTGAAAGTGGTGTTAAATACCAAAAATCAATCAATCTACTTTCATCAAGATATTCTTCAACTATGCTTCTTGTAAAATATTCTTAAAATAATATACCCTTTGTTATAAACTCAGCTAAAAAGACACAAAGGTGAAAATATATATTACAATTTGCAAAAATAAAAACATTTCTTTTTTTTCTTTTCTTTTTTTTAAGATTCTCCATTCTTAAACTACTGGAAGTGTTTTGCCCAGACATGAGTATGAACAGAAAATAGAAAGTAAATTTTGAAATTTCAAAGACCTATTAACCTACAACTTCCAATCTTGTTGAAAATGGAGAACCTGTACATAATTTTTTTTTTCTTTTTGTAAAAATTATAAACATTTTCTCAAACATACACAAAAATAGTCTGAATTACATTCTTTACTGTAACAGTAAAATCACATAGCCCTTTTATGCAGCCACAGTTACCTGAAAAAGAAATATACAGAATTAAACGTAATTGTCAAAATCTGAAAATTGAAACAATATCAAATGCAAATTAATAAATAACTATGATTCATAAAACCTTTCTCTTACTTTGTGTAACAGTGATTTGCTGATATATTTTTTGAACCACCAGTCTTTATTAGCAGAAAAGGATGAAAAACAAGTCAATGGTAGATGTCTAACATATTTCTTTTTTTTACATATTGTTTTTTTTTGTATTGGTTCTTACCATAAAAGTCAGCTCCAATGCCCACTCCCAGCTTCAATCTTTACAGACAAGCTGTGATGCTAACCTGAAAAATAAAATGATTATAGTCATTCAAGATTGTTTAAAAGGATCATTTTTGGTATACTGTATGTATATTCCATATTTTGAATAATTGATTCATTTGATGGTTGGTTGCTAAATGTCAAGTGGCAAATTGAATAAAAGTCTATAAATATGTAATAGAAGTTGAGAACAGCAAACCAGCATCCCAACAAACTTTTACATAATCAAATCAGATAATTAAATTTACTCCTTTAAAGGCAATTAAAGAAAGCAAAGACTTCTTACCAAACTCTTACAAACCTTCACGCTTAGAGCACATGCTATTTCCAAATACATTTTATAATACTTTTTCTTTTTTCAAAACAGGACTAACATACTGGTACATACCTTCGTATTAGCTGTATTAGACCACCAAGTCTTATTCCCACACCATGAAAACATATCACAGAAGAACCTAAAAAGAATTAAAAAAGACACTTTATATATTTTACAAATCCATTTCTCTATAAATATAAAGTCACTATATAATGTTCTGATTTCTTACAAAATGTACACAATAGTATCAACACAAGTTTGTAAGATAAACTGTTGACAGAGATGTCTCGCCTAGCAGCGGAAAATGAAAAACATCTGATGATTAGCAACATTGCTAATTAATTCGATAATTTGTTAGTAATGCAACTAAATACAAAATGTCATTGATCTATAGCAAGGAGTATTACTATTAACCTGACTAAACAGAAAACTTGACATAATAAAAATAATTAAAACAAGTTAAAGGTTTTTGTTTGGAATTTAACTGCACAAAAGTGATGTGCAAATTTAAATTTATAATTTATCCCATTGAATGAACAAATCTTGCTGTTAATTGTACTTGTCTCCCCTTGAAGTTTTAAATATTTTGATCGAGAATCTTGTTTAAGAAAATGGTAACTTAAATTATAAAACTTATTAAAATGAAAGAACCTTAGTGAGCACGCTCACATACCCCACGTCGCCACATTGTCATTGGAGAAATAAAATAAGTGTAAGAAAAAAAAATTGTATCAGAAAAAAAAAATTGAATCATAATTTCCTGTCAATATGCACATCTACATAGTATGTCCTTATTATCTACAGAGTTTCATGAAATTCTGTTGTGTGGTTTGAGAGGAGTTGCGATGACAAAAGGTTGCAGTAGTATATTGGGCAAATAAGTTTAAAGGGGTGTAACTCCTGGAAAAAAAATTGAATCGTAATTTCCTGTAGATATGCACATCTACGTAGTATGTCCTTATTATCGGAAAAGGTTTCATGAAATTCTGTTGTGTGGTTTTAGAAGAGTTGCGATGACAAAAGGTTGCAGTAGTATATTGGTCAAATAAGTTCAAAGGGGCGTAACTCCTGGAAAAAAAATTGAATCGTAATTTCCTGTCGATATGCACATCTACGTAGTATGTCCTTATTATCTGAAAAGGTTTCATGAAATTCTGTTGTGTGGTTTGAGAGGAGTTGCGATGACAAAAGGTTGCAGTAGTATATTGGACAAATAAGTTCAAAGGGGCGTAACTCCTGGAAAAAAAATTGAAACGTAATTTCCTGTCGATATGCACATCTACGTAGTATGTCCTTATTATCTGAAAAGGTTTCATGAAATTCTGTTGTGTGGTTTGAGAGGAGTTGCGATGACAAAAGGTTGCAGTAGTATATTGGGCAAATAAGTTCAAAGGGGCGTAACTCCTGGAAAAAAAATTGAATCGTAATTTCCTGTAGATATGCACATCTACGTAGTATGTCCTTAGTATCTATAAAGGTTTCATGAAATTCTGTTGTGTGGTTGGAGAGGAGTTGCGACGACAAAAGGTTGCAGTAGTATATTGGGCAAATAAGTTCAAAGGGGCGTAACTCCTGGAAAAAAAATTGAATCGTAATTTCCTGTCGATATGCACATCTACGTAGTATGTCCTTATCATCTGAAAAGGTTTCATGAAATTCTGTTGTGTGGTTTGAGAGGAGTTGCGATGACAAAAGGTTGCAGTAGTATATTGGGCAAATAAGTTCAAAGGGGCATAACTCCTGGAAAAAAAATTGAAACATAATTTCCTGTCGATATGCACATCTACGTAGTATGTCCTTATTATCTGAAAAGGTTTCATGAAATTCTGTTGTGTGGTTTGAGAGGAGTTGCGATGACAAAAGGTTGCAGTAGTATATTGGGCAAATAAGTTCAAAGGGGTGTAACTCCTGGAAAAAAATTGAAACGTAATTTCCTGTCAATATGCACATCTACGTAGTATGTCATTATCTGAAAAGGTTTCATGAAATTCTGTTGTGTGGTTGGAGAGGAGTTGCGATGACAAACTGTTGCAGTAGTACATTAAAGTAAATAAGTTCAAAGGGGCGTAACTCCTAGAAAAAGAATTGAATCGTAATTTCCTGTCAATATGCACAACTACATAGTATGTCCTTATTATCTAAAAAGGTTTCGTGAAATTCTGTTGTGTGGTTTGAGAGGAGTTGCGATGACAAGAAACAGGACTGACGGAATGACGGACGGACGGACTGACAGACGGGTCAAAAACATTATACCCTCCACAACTTGTTGCGTGGGGTATAATTAATACATCAATGGTGTTTTGCATGCAGAAGATCAGAAGGGTGCTGGCGTGTTGTCTTAATATGCACTTCTTGTCGAATATTTCTAGAAAATGTATACAAATATTTGGCTTAAATAAACTTGCCTTCTTAATTTCTTGGCAAAGCCTCAGACTTGGTTGAAGATTTATTTGACCATCTTCCTTGGAGCTGCTATCCTGGCTGCTTTCAAAGGTTTTCCATCATAGTTTTTTATGCTAATCAGTCCACTGAATCCATTTTATCTAAGTAATGGAATGTCCTTTCCATTGTACATTATAAATGTACAATAGTCACCAGAATGTTCCAAGGCATCTCACATTATTTTTCCAATCATGGAAACTGAAGAAATTCTCAATTCAAAATACAAATAATTTATTAAATTCATTTAAAAAGTACTGTAAAAATACCAGACATGCTTTTAAACAGGTAACTTGTATTTTGATAATTTACGAAATGTATTCTGTACCCCACAATTTCTTCCACTCATTAAAAGTATAGTTTAGAACTATGTTTACATTTTTTTTTATTTACAGAGCTCTAGATAATAGCTTTTATATAAGTTACCAGACATCAGATATGAAAATACTTATACAAATGTAAGAAAAAAAGTACAGTGTAGTAATAGTATAATAAACACATATAAATCAACATTTTTTAAATATTTTGAAGCATAGTTTAATCAAAAATATCTCATTTTCAAGGTTTACAACTCATGTACATAGTAGTCACGTATAGTCCCAAAATTTGTAAAAGCCTCTATAGATTTGCAAACTCTCTGTGAATTCCAAAAGATATGGGTTAAAAACTATTTATTTTACCTTTGATGAAAAATTACTTAGTTCCCAAGTCAGGAATCTTTGAAAATTTTGAAAAACAATCATCAAGATCAGAATTAAGGAAAAAATGGGGGGAAATTCCTCAAACAATTTCATATAAGCAGGTACACAACTTCAAAATGTACGCAATTATTCTGTGAAGTTTCAGTGGTACAAGAAAAAGAAGCTGAAATGAAAAAATACAAATATGATGCAAAATGATATTACATGTATTAAGTATGAAATCTTTAGATTTAATAAAAAAATTTAGAAAGAAAAAATTAAGAACTCAAAGAAATGATATAAATACTAAATCTTTATAATAAAAATTAATTTCAATACTTTATTATAATTTAAATTATTTTCAAAACTCAAATGGTACGTAATACTTCAATAAAATAGATTTTTACTTTTTACTTTAGTTTTATACTTGAAAGAAAAATAGTAGCAAAATTTACAATTGAAAAAGTAAAATGTTTTGTTCCGAAAATATTTATGATAGCATTTTTGATTGGTTATATCAAAATTTGTTTTATGTAAGATTACTTCCAATGACTTTTGTCAGAAAAAAAGGAAAATCAGTGATATCTTGACAATAATGGACTGAGGCAAGGTTACTGCACTCTCCGGAATCATTAGTTCCTTAAATGGATAAGAACCAGAAGCAGCCAATATACAGACTTGCAGGAATCAGCTCTTTTTTGCTACGGGAAAAGAAAACAGATTACCAGTTAAATCTAAAATAGTCTGGTTATCTTTAACTTTTTTAGTGATTAAATCCCCAAAGTCTGAAACAGGGTCTAATATAAATCTAAAACTGCTTGGTTAACAGAACTGATTGTATGCTATCGCTCAGGCAAAAAAAAATCATGTATATAATGCCTACCCATGTTAAAATTACAATAAAGTATAGCTTGCAACAATTATTTCTTAATTATTATGGACTAATGGAAAACTCCTTTGAACTAATGAGGCTAAAGTTGGATCCCTGTTAAAGAGTCATTGACAAGCTCTTAGATTACTCTTTGTCTGGCCATGAGTTTCAAAAAGGATCCAATGAAGAATAGCTGCAGTCAGTTATTGATAATTGGGTTTTACTTATTTTATTTTTTTAAAGTATTTTATGATGACAAGTGCTTTACCTATATTGCAATTACCAAATTTGAAAAAGATAGAATGGTTCGATACAAAGGAGCAAATTAATTTATGTTGTAATTCAAACGGTATGATAGGGTTAAGATCAGTCTAATACCTTTTTCCATAAAAGATCTAAATTGTATAAAATGAGCTATATTACAACAAACTTATGATTTGAAATTTGAAATTTTTGTGTTGTACAATCTACTCCTTTTCATGTACACATGATAAATAGAATAAAATAGACCAGTTTTCAGCTCCTTTTTTGTGATCTTGAAATGATCCGGCTCACTGTCAATACTTTTGATTGCAAAAAAGAAAAATTGTTTCAATAAGCTGGACAAAATTATCCTTTAATATATTGATCACAGAATGGCTTGTGAAGTTAAAAAGATTAATTTTCTATTAAACAGGAAATTTTTACAAAGAAATGCTTAAACTCAAGACAATTTAATTTTACAAATTACGATGAGCAATTGTTAAATGGGACTAACAAGTAAAATTAAAACATTAATACCAGTTGTCAATTATGGTCTCATAATAATGAAGTTATCATTAAATGTCTGGAAAATGTGGATGAAAACCTAGTGTTGAAGGTGAGAGTTGAAAATTAACCCAAGGTTGAGAAGCTTGAAGCAAAGGGAGATAACTACTGTAAGATATCGGGATTGATAAGTTAGATAACTCTTCACTTGGAGATGATGATAGTTTCAGATAACTCAAAATGAAGTTTTTAGGGTATTGGAAATCATTATAAATTTCGTTGGTCATCTCAACGAGATTGATTTTCTCCCTTGAGCCGGTACCGCGAAAGTGAGAAAAACAATTAAGTTGAGATGACCAATGATAATCTGTTTATCAATATTTTGCTTATGACGATGTTGAAATTTACATTGACAATGACACGTGCAGCCTTAGTTTCTAGAGATACTTTCCATATCTTTCTACTATGCTGAGAAAGGAAATTATCAGTAAGATCAAAGGAAAATTCAGTAAAATAGTGATAATAATATATATATCATAGAAATTTATTATTGTTCACCAAATATTAAGACTTGTACAAGCTTTCAGTCATGTAAGAATTAATAACCTTTGCGATTATGTTTATAACTCTATAATAAATGTAGATTAAACATCCAAATTCTTTTTTGTATGGCAGAATTTTCGTTATGGCTTGACTGTTATAAAATGTTTTTTTACTTCTTTATTATCTTAATAGCGATCAGTGCTTTAAAGATGTAAATACCCAGAAAAAATTTTGAAGAAGATAAAGTATATCTAAAAAACTTTTGGGATCATTTTCCACTTCCCCTGAATTCAACTTAATTTACAGAATATGTTATCTAGTTTTCCATTTCCAATACATCATAATATGTCAAATACAATTTAGATTTTGATTTTGATTGAAGAGATTCATTTTCAATTTTGAAAATAAGAAATTATGAAAATCGTACAGATTCAAAGTTCAAAGCAGCTTTATGATTATTTTTTTTATGACTAGAAATATCAAATATTTTTCATTTCAGAATTACATATATAGATTCCTTCGAATGGTAAACACAACACCCTAAATACCTCAAAACCAAAGAACCATCCAAAGAACAACTGAAACAAACAGAAGATATAACCAACCCTACTACTTGAACACCAATAAGCAACTTTGTAATATGTTAGTAAAGACACGCAGCGCTCCAAGCATAATGTATTTCTGAAATGATCATTTGATATTTGTTAAGTCTACACCAAAACTCTGAAGATAAAGAATGTTTTGCTTCGGAACTTTGCATGCACTAGACTACGAATTTAAATCAATATAATCTGACAACTACAATGCTTTAAAAATGTAAAAATTTTAGGTAAATTATTATTTCACTATAAATCTTAAATTTTGATTTAAATGTCTTAGGAAAATTATTTCATTATAAATCTGAAATTTTAATTTAAATGACATCTTTTTTTTTTAACGAAGAACCAAAAAAAATGCATTTACTCATTATCTTTTGATTTTGCCACTTGATTAGGGACTTTCCGTTTTGACTTTTCCTCAGCGTTCAGTATTTTTGTGACCACAAAAAAAGCTCTGATAGACCTTTAAGACAATGTTAAAAAAAACTTTCAATCGTTGGATCAAATGACAGTCTGTAGTGGTGAAAATACAGAGAAATTAATCATAACCAGGATAAACCTCATCTGAAGTTATTGCAACTATCATCATCTCTGTAGTGATAACTTTTAATATTAAATTAACACCCCAAATATAAAGAAGGCGTTATACCCTGGGTTAATCTCCAACTTCTATATTTTGCTTCTTATGTTGTTGCACATTAATAGATGCATAATTTAACTTGAAAATTATGGACAAATCTTTTACTGCATTCAAGAAGAAAAGATAGACATGTTTTGAGTACAGGTACTTGGCTATCATGGATCAAATGATCATTTGGCTACTGTTGTAATAAATAACATGAAAACTTTCACAATTAAAAATTGCTCATCATAATCCTTCAGAAATATTAGAAATTTTAATGGTGAATATTTACAACAAATATAAAAGAAGAATTTTTCATATAAAAATAACTATTTCAGAATTAAAGTATTTTTAACTTGGGGGGTACTAAATTATGACACATACAGTACATCTGTGTTATAGAAATTTTGCCTGCAGATTAACCACATAGTAGTAGTAGAAGTAAATGTGTTCATTTTCAAATCATCAAAAGTTGAGAAATTAAAAAAATTACTGCATTCAAATTTTGTTCTAAATACCGGTACATATTAAGAGTAAAAATATGAAATTTAAATAATCTGAACCCAGTCATATTTTTTCAATTGATAAATACTTCACATAAATATCTAAATTTTGAGTCTGGGGGTTGGAATCCCTCCTTTTATTCTGATTCCTCTTTTTTTAATATGTGAACGTTTCATGGTGTTCCTAGGTTTGGAACCCCCCTTTTCAAAATGGCT